GGTGATCAATCAAGTTCTACACCAGTGACCCTGGAAGGTGGCAGTTCTTGGTAAAACTTTCTGTTGGTAAAACCTTTATACTTTTCACTTGTCACTTTTAGTTTCACGGTGTTGTCTTGGGTTGTTCATATCTAGGAGAATTTTGATCATAATTGATCCACCATAGCCTATATTATTGGACCTTTCATTTTTGAATTACAGTAGTTTCTTGTTTATTTCTTTTATTATAGAACATAAGTATTTATTGTGATTGCGGTGTTCCTTCCTCTTCGTAACACTTGAGCATAAACTCAGCACATCGAAAGGAGGTGGGGTTGCTACAATAGCGTTGCTTTGATAATGTTACACTTGTGCTTTCAATTTAGGATGGTGGCATAGACAACGATTGCATTTCTTCTATATCTTCATATTTTTTCCAGGAGGCAAAATTGGTTCTTGATGTAATAACACCGGGCATGAAGTGAACTGTGTAATGAATTGTAGAAGTAGCAAAACATTAACCTAGTGAAAGGATTATGACACTTGAACCTAGACCCGACACATCTTAGGAGGTCAATACCAGAAGCTTCCCAACTTTATGTTAAATACCTTGAGTATTAGTTAGGAGTGACTTCCTTGTGGGTTAACCATAGCCCTTTCTATTTGTTCATTGGTCCTTCACTCTTTCATGGTCTTATCAAATCAAATTTTTTACTCATGAATTCACTCAAAATTTTAAATAAAAATTTTAGTCAAGGTTGAATATGACATAGTATGAATAAATTTGGTTTAGGACTGGTTAGCATTGATGCATGATCGTATAGGTTATATAGGAATGACAAATTGTCGAGAGTACTGTTATCGGGATCTAAAAAAATTGACATAATTTATTGACATAAAAATGTAATAGTGATATTGTCTAACAAATAATATTATTTAGATATAAAAATTTAACTTAATTTGTTAACTTAATGATGTTGTTTTATTAGAACTATTGAATTAATACTAAGTTTCAATGTTTGATAGGATTCGTAACCAATTTAAAAATTAGGTTAGCAAATTAAATTTCAATAGGATTGCCCTTGTCCTATAATATTGTTGTAATTATAAATCTTAAATTTCTTGATTGAAACTCTTTTATTTAATATATCATTATGTCAATTCATCAAAACAATTTTTTAAATCCTAATAATAATTACTCAATTATCAATCATTTTCTCAACTGCCTCTTCTAATCCAATTAGACCTCAATTAGGCAGACTAGGGGAAAAATATCTTATAATAATAATAAGGGCAGCCAAAATGAAACCCAGTGGCCGAACGCAAGCTCAACATGATTAAAATCCATATTAAATTCGGATCAACTTGTATTACTTCATCTCAAAATCGCAATCAAGAAACGTCAGCAGCAAGCACTTTACTTTGTATACCATCCCAAGAGCAAAAGAAAACAATTTAAAGGATATATCTAATATTAACTCTCATAAATATTCTAATTTATATCTAATCTTGACATAAATGATCTATTTTTAATCGGACCGAAAAAAAAATAAAATCAAGATGATCAAAACTTTTTTTGTTTTTTGGCTTTTTGTACACCAATGTTGGACTTCAAGTAAACATCAATAGCTTTCAATATTAAAAGGACAGCCAGATACATAGATTTGTCATAGGATCTGAAAAAACAAAATCACATATTCACAGCCTTATCCTGCCTGCAGAACTGTTTTGGCGACTCGAATCTGACACCCAAACTTCAGAAACTTACAATATCGTTGCATTTAATATCATCGCGTCCTCTTCTCAACAGCTGCATAATTGTAACTGTTTCGTGTTCTTAAGGGGGGGCTTCGGTGATGCGTGACTGGCTGGCATTTGGACAAAGCGGAGTTTTATAGGATGATGATGATGATGAGCAGGAGGAGGAGGAGGAGGAGGAGAGGAGGAAGCGCATGGGAGTGAGAAGGATCAACCTTCTTCTGATTGTCACCCAACTCATGCCTTGCTTGGCAACCTTGTCATTCCACTCCACATGACCGTTCGGTTCTATACAATTCTTCCCATCCCTTTTCCATGAGGAAATTCATGTATTACTTGTGTGGTCAGCCACACTCCAATCTACAAGTTCTAAGTTCAAGTGCATCAGTAATTTAAGTGACGTATCAGTGACTAACAGGTGATTGCGAGTAGCTGTTGCAGTTTCAGCAGAAAGACGTCTCTTTTTGTCCAAAAAGAAAAGAGGAAAAAAATCTGTACAGTGGTATCTCAACTATTTACCTCTCTCTCTCTTCTCTCTAACTGGGGGCATAACTGGCCCTATCTCTTTTGGTTCAATAACCCAACATCTCTAGAGTCTAAGCTACGTATCTCTTTTGGTCCCCTCTATAAGCTTCACCCAACACCCTATCTTCATTCCTCTGTCGAATCCAAAGCTACAAAGTTCGACAAATTTTCACAATTCAGAACCCTCTGCAAAGCGTAGTTCAAAATTTCAGCTCATTCCCATGAAGAAACCCATCATAAAAAATTAGTAAGAGTTAGTGAACATTTGCTATACCTCATCAATAAGCCTCCTACATTAAAGCCCTTCTAATAGGTGTAAGAGTTCAAACATCATTTTTTTCATCCGTCAGTTCTCAAATCTGCCAAGTTCTTTAATTTACTTCAAGACTGTGCATCATCAGCATCTGAATCGCTCCCAGAAGAACTCCCTGAACCAGAATCTGTAAAACAGAACCTTAAAATCATAAACAATCTGGCAACTAATTTGGCACCACAACTCCAAGAAACAAAGTGCATGGTAAAAATGTAGTAACACAAGATTCAGCACCACTTGAAGAGGATGAGTCACTGCTTGAGCCACTGGAACCGCTAGAACTACTATTAGCATGACCATGATTTTGATCATAACCACCTTCATCCTTCTCAATCTCCACCGATGGGAAGTTGGTTGCAGGCAAATCGTCGTCAATGTCCACATCTTCATCCCCAGCTTCTCCTTTCTTTGGCTTCTTTGTCAAATCAGTTCTCTCTCTCATAGGACCCTGCTATTAAAACACATTATTAGCAATCCCAAATCACCAATTACAACATGCTAAAGAATTGAAGAAATATGAAAGTCAAAATAAGCAATAAAAATGATTCACCCTATCAGCTTCAGCAGAAGTTGTGGTTATGGTTCCCGCTCCAGCTGAATTGTTTGACATTAGTGCTTGCCTCTTTGTCTTGCTCGCCATCTTCTTCCAATTAGTCACAAACCGATCAAGCTCCCAAAGGGTCTCTGTATCAAGAGCCTCAATGTCAAGCTCAATTTCATCACCCTCTTGAGCCAAATGCTCATTCCTCTTCCCTATAATCTGCACCAATTGAGGCATCTTTTCTTGAGGCAAACTCTGCAACCCAATTCCAAGCTTTTGCTTCTCCTCCATACTCATCTCTCTCTTATTGGGATCCTTAGCCTTTGGCTTCGGCTGCTTTGTGGAAGATCCTCTCACAGCCACCGGTTTCCCAGGAGGCGCTGGCATGGAGGATGGAGAGGGCACGGGTGATTGCACCGGAGCTGGGTTCAATGGAGAATTTGACGGGTTTGAGGCACTTGACCCACTTTGCATTTGGTCTTTTTTATTTGAAATTGGGGGTTTGGGGCTCGTTTCCGATTTCTTTACTCTTTCTGGGGTTGGAATTTGACTCCAAGAACTACCTTGCAACTCATCACCAACAAAGCCACGATCCTCTTCTTTCCGATCACCACCAATCTTCTCTTGTATGGGTCTAAACATATCCTCGAATATACCAAGTAGCTGCTCGGCCATGCCGTTAACTTCATCGGTCTTCGGATTATACAACAAGGCATTATTAAATGTCAATCTCACATCAGCAGCAAAATCAACAGGCGAAACAAACAAACCTTTCGCCAAATTCCCTTTCACTGTGCCAAGATCCATCGGCTGCTTAATTATCCGATGGTAATCATGAAGCCCCAAGGCCACAGCATCCACCGGTTTATTAAAAACCCAACCAAATTTGTGCTTCATCAACTTCGTCAACACTTGCCTACACATCTTCATCAAACCCTCTTTCCCATTTCCACTCATATGACCATTCTCAAATTCCGATGTTTGGCACAATCCCTTCAAATCTTTTTTAGAACCACAAGGAAACGGTCGCTTGCTTCCAGATAATTTCTTTATTTTACCATGAGATCTGGGTTGGAGTTGTCCGGAATCGATTTGATTATTCAAGTTTCGGATCCGTTCCAACTCCGCCACCAAACGCTGCTTGAGTTCGCTCAACTCGCTGTTCGAACACGAAGCTAAGTTGAAGCTAATGTATCCACCGTGATTGAAACCATTCCGGCTAGTACCCTCAACCGATCTCTGGTTGAACGAATAGGCATCATCAGAGGTGGTCTGAGTAACGACCGTAGAATCGTCGGCGTGTTGGCCGTTAGCTGTGTTGAATTTGTGTTTATTCTTAGGGTTAGGGTTAGGTTTCGGGTTTTTTAAGTGAGGATTGGAGTAAGGGAGTTTCGCCATTAATCCAACAGCACTAGATTGGCCCCAGCTCGATTCATTCCCGCTAGCTAAAACGGCGGCCATGAATTGCAGCGGCGTGGTTGAACTCCGGCAAATCTCCGGAAAAATCGATCGGATGAAAGAGAAAACATGAAATTGAAGACGTAATTCACCGGAATCTAACAAAAACTCCGATGACCGCCGGAGAAAATTTATCTGCCAGAGAATCAGAAGACGAAGGGTCGTAGGCTCAGGTGTTTGAGTGAAGAATGAAAGATACAGGCAACCCTTCTTAAAGACGATGAGATCTGCCCGTGATAATGTCGGGCAGTTTTTGGGCCGTGGATTGTACGGCAACTGGTTATCGGACGGTGGACGTGCTTTTGTTTGTTATCGGAGTTGGTGACCCAGGCATCCGTCATGTACGGTGTGGATGGAATTAGGGATGAAACGTGGCGGAATTTGGACCGTTGGATGAATATGGTTTTGCTGGGAGAAAATGGTGTCACATTTACACGTGAGTTTGGAGTGAATTTGGGTCGCATGTGTCTCAAAGTTAGGGTTTTTTTTTTTGGGATTGTGGGGCCTAAACGATGGTGACGTCGGAGAGGGGGAGACACGAAGGAGAAGAAACGATGTTGGCATGTTAGGAAGTGATGACGTGTCAGGATGATTTGGTCAAACTAACCTCGGTTTGGTTTGGTTTGGTTTGGTTCCGAGGAGAAAATATTCATTACAACCACGACGGTACGTGGCAATGTGGTGTGATGTTATTAATCAATAATTTTAGATAAATAAGTAAATAGACTCCACAAAAATATATAATTAATTTACTTTATAATCAAATAACTATTCACTCTTTCTCTACGTAAATTCAAAAAGAATTTAATTTATCCACTTAAAATTTTATTATTGATTGACAGTTGCATTGAATATTTACTCAATTCCAAGGAAAGAAAGTGAGTAAAAACTCAAATTTCTTTGTACAATGTTTGGATTGAATCTCCATAATTATGATAGTTCAATGAGGTTAAATCAATTCTTCAATGTTCAGAGCACAAGATGACACCTTAATTTTGGCCCTAACGCAAATGCGACGGAATCTCCTGCAGATAACTGTATATTACTGATGGACAATGTTGTCTAACAGATATATAAAGTGACATATATGCATATTTATTTAATATATAAAAAAAAAGTTGTTTGACAGATATATAGAATTACCTATATGCATATTTGTTTAATATATTAAAAAAAAAAAAGAAAAGAAGTAATGGATATTTATAAGAGTAATGTTAAATTGATAAAGAAATTAAAACTAATAATTATGTGATATTATTATAATAGTGCTATTAATTATATTATTACATATTTAAATTTTAAATTTATTTCATTATAATAATATCACATTATTTAATCTATATTTGTAATTTATTTTTTTAATCAATGTAACACTAATATCATATTTTAAGATTTTAAATGAGATTTTTTGTCCATTATTCTTTTCCAAATAAAGATAATCGTTATTCTAACGGCGAGGTGAGGCCATGT